GTGTGTAATTGGAGATACACTAATAAAAATTGTAATTGTAACAAGATTTCGCAATGTTGCCAATATAAATCGAACTAGAATTTAGTTGCTTACCAAATTTTGCTGTTTAACTTTAGTTGGTATCAATTGAGTTCCACGAGTTTCTGGTGGAGGTAAAATAACCTCACTTTAAATAAGGTTCGTTTGTTTATTTTTTACATTTTTTATCATTAAAAGAATTGTTTTTTTTTTGTTTCAACATTTTATTATGTATTTTGAATGTAATACAATCAAATATTGTTTATATATTTTTTTAATTTCCGCATCTACACTCTATATATTGATTTATATTTTGTATAATTTTTACCAAATGTTATATTGCTTTTGTTTACATACATTGGCTTTTCTATTACCATCAGAAAAATTAATTAGTAAACATTTTGTATAGCAATAAGTCTAAAATTTCTGTAAATGAATCTAAATAAAAATCTAACTATTATGTCTTTTAATTTGCATTTAATATTACACTTTTCCTAAAAAAAAATGCAGCGGTGTTATTGATTGTTGTGATGTCATTGTCAAACTGCAACTGCAACTACTGATCCTGATCTATTCATCTGCACTGCCCTCTAATTTTTTCTTCATCGACCTTTTAATTACTGATACCGCACAATTGTTGTTTTACCTAAGTACATTAACATTTTTAGGTATATATTAAGATAATCATTAAGGAATATTGCCACGGTAAAAAAAAATATACCTTGTGTATTCTTTCTAACCAAAAAAAAGTATTTTGGTGTTGATTGAAATATTCGCTCAATATTTCAGTCAACGTTTTTAGTCTTTAATACTTATTGCACCAATTCACTTACCTTTAATAAACCTATTTAGCAAAATAAACTAAACAATATAATACTATTATAACTTGGTAAAAGTTAATAGTTTAGCAGATGACTTTTTGTGATTTTAAAATTAGTATTTGTGGAAAATATAAGCTCGTGATTTTACGTTGCATTTACATAAAAAAACAAGAAAAAGTGCTACAAAATTTGACGCTTAATTTATTAGTATTGGGTGTCATTATGCATTCATTTTATTACTTTAGTATTATTTTATTTAATGAGAACTACTTACAAAGTATTTTAAATTTTCCCGCGACACCACTTTGATATTAAACTGAGTAAGTAACTAGATATGTTAAGTTGGCAACGCTGCGAAATCTTGTTACAATTAGTAGGCAAGTTCGGTATTGACATGTAGATGCTCTAGATATATCTCTTTGTCTTTTCATCCCTTACAATTAGAAAAGAACAAAACACATCTGGAGCGTCTAGATGATAATACCGAACTTGTCTAGTGTCGTCTATTCTAATTTCTAATTTTCTAACCACAAAAACAGAATATGCGTCAGCTAGGAAGAATAGACAATTGTTAGTTTGTTCATTTGTAATATATTTAATATAATTTGTTGCTGTTGTTGAATAGTTGGAAATAAAAATCATGCCTGGACAAGGTAAAGAAATGAATGAGGTATCAAAGGCAAAAATTGAACCAAAGGATGAAATTTTGCCAGGTTATCCAACTATTGAACATTTCACAAAGGTATGAAAATATAAATTTTGAGTTTTTGTGAAATTACTCGTTAATTATTCGTTCTAGGAAGGTTATAAAATTTTAATGGAAGCCATAAAAAATTCAAATTCGCTTCCTAATGGGAAAGATTATAATTTTTATAATACTTTTGATTCTTTCACTAATATTATGAATGAAGAAGGAAACGCTATCTTAAAGCAAATAAACTCTATCTTACGAAGTAATAATATAGAAGGAAATATTTGTAACAGAGTTTTAGAGGAAAAGACAGAACTTATGATAGAAGCAAATGATGTTATTCTTGATAGAGTTGCAAACAATATTGATGAGATGAATGGTATAAGGAAAATACCTATCGAACCTGTTTTAATCCAGACCGTCAGTGCACAGATACCCATCAATGGATCTTGGAATCGTGTTAATAATGCTACATTTTCAGTTAGTTCTTCTATTACTTCAGAGGTTCGTTAACTTAAAATTTGGCTCGTCAAACTGGCACACTCATACTAGATTCTTTTATTTTTAGCATTTTAAAAAGAATCAAAATGCAATTCGTTTACTTACAGCAAAGAATATTTTGAGACCCCAAAAATTTTTTAAAGATAAAATTGTCAACAGCTGTAAATACCCTTGGGAACCCAGGATAAAAGAAAAACCAAATTCATTGAAACCATTGGCTATATTTTTGGAAGAAACTGAAAATGGGGAAGAGTAAGTGTATATTATTAAGCTATAAATTTCGAGGACTATTATTAAATATTTTAGGTATTCCCATCCGTATGAGTTTGAGTTGGATAAATTTGTTCCTTTACAAGATCAATTAAAAAAAGTTACCCCAACAAGGCCACTTAAAGTTGAAGATACTCCTTTAATTGAAATTCAGAGTGATGAACAAATCAATGAATTACTTGAAACATTAAGAAACTGCAAAGAATTTGCAATTGATTTAGAACATCATTCCTATAGATCTTTTATGGGCATAACTTGTCTTATGCAAATATCCACAGCTGAAAAAGATTATCTAATAGATACTTTAGCTTTACGTGACAAATTGTGGATATTGAATGAAGTATTTACAAAATCATCTATCGTAAAAGTAAGTTATACAATCAGCATAGATTTTTATTTTCTGTAATCCCCAGATTCATTGGAAAATTTAATTGAATCCTTGCATATCTAGATGAAAATTTTATATTTTTCCTGTTAATATGTTTATCTCTAAAATCTGCAAGCGATAGATTTGAAGGAAAACGTGTGGAAAACCAATTAATATATACATAATGATTTTTATTGAGGGAAAGTAGTATTTGACAATAAATTACATTTTAGATTTTTCATGGAGCTGATATGGATATACAGTGGCTACAAAGAGATTTATCACTTTATGTTGTTAATATGTTCGATACATATCAAGCAGCAAAACAGTTAGGGTACTCTGGACTATCGTTGGCTTATTTAATGCAGCGATTTTGTAATTTTATGCCCAACAAACATTTCCAACTAGCAGATTGGAGAATAAGACCATTACCTGAGGAACTGAAAGCCTATGCTAGAGAAGATACCCATTATTTAATTTACATATATCACATGTTGAGAAACGAGCTGTTGGATAAAGCCAATGGCCAGAACCTGTTACTGTCTGTTATAAATAATAGTACAAAGATTTGTAAAAAAGTAAGTTAATATGTAAAAACACGAAATACTTAGTTTCATTAACTTTATCTTTTATTCTAGAGGTATTTTAGACCTGTCCTCAGAGATGACAGTCATTTAGACTTTTATAGAAAGAGTAAAAGGCTCTTTGATAACAGACAATTATATGCTCTGAAGGAACTGTATAAGTGGAGGGATCAGATTTCAAGAGAAGAAGATGAAAGTACTGGGTAAGCTAGAATAATTTATGTTCACTATTTTATCATTTTATTTCTCAAGTATTCCTTTCTCAAATTTGTGTACTGTTATTCTCCAGGGTGATTCATTAGTATTGCCACAGACAATATAGTTTCGCTCCAGACCGTACCTGGAATAGGAAGCAGTTTTAAATTTCCGAATTTTAGATAAGAGTTACACTACCAGCAGAATTTTAGGAAGATTCAAATGCAGCGAACGGCATTCCCAGACCATGCTTACGTGTATCCTAGCATCACATAAACAGTTTGGCGATGTTGTCACACGTACTCACTGATTTATTTTGTACACTTTATTTATCAATGCCTATTTTTTATGGTACTGTGTTTGCTTATGTAAATGTATGATGTAGGTATTGATAAAAATGTTTCAAATAATGAACGAATACCTATATAGTCAACTTCAGACGATCGGATTTTCTGCAGCAGTGTCACAGTTATATTATTTAATCATAATTTGGTTAGTTAGCTACTATTTTAATTTTTTGGTATTGAAATACTGCACAAAATATATTTCCAAATAAACAAATTCATAATGATATTAGCTAGTAATATAATTTTTTTAATATTTGATGATGCCATAATTTTTATAAATTTATTTCATATACAAAGTGAGTTATTAGTACGTTGTGGAATGTAGGTACAGGGTTTGTGTTTGTATTTTGACACCCACTTACAGCTTTAATCATTATAGATAGAAAAAAACGTTCAATACAAATGTAGGATCTTTATTATTTTTTGATATCAAATAAAATACACGTTTAAAATAGAAAAATATTAAAAAAATTAAAATACATTTTTATTGAAATAACAAATAACTATTTTTATAACTAACCTTTATACATATATTTTGAATCGAGTGCAAAAGGTTTGAAGTCGGTATGTTGAAAAAATAATTCGGAACCAAAAGTGTGTGACGTCATACAGTAAAAAGGTCTTGAAACTCGGAAATGATGTGTTGAATTGAAGAAATAATTAAAAAAAATCTCCCCCACACCTCTGTTACTGGCTGTTCCTCTTACGTGAATGCAAAAGGTTGAAAGTCTATATGTCGAAAATAAATTTTGGAAATAAGAGGGTGTGACGTCATACAATAAAAAAGCCTTATAACCCCTCTAGCTCTGATACTACGTTCTATGTTGTATGTAAAAGGTCCGAAGTCTGTATGTAAAAAAACAAAAAAGTTAGTGAAAATTGCAACAGCAGTACTGAAGGCATTACCTTATCTCTACCACCCATTAAGGTTTCAACAATTTTATTAAATAAAAAATTAAGATATTTAAGGAATTTTTTTTGAACACCCTGAGTCATAGATATGAGTACTACCAATGGCATCTGTCATATGCAACATTTGTATCAAGAATTACTTTATTTTTATTATTTTACCTATTTGGTAATATCAATGATAAGAGAGCATTACCCATCTAAGGATACACGGTATATTTATTGGTTAGCCATATTTATTTACTGGCATGATCTTTTACATGATAAAATACAGAATATTCAGTAAAAAATATGGATTCGCTACATTTTTACACAACCTATAATAATGCATTTTTTTAACATGGGCGTTAATATCGTACCAAACAGGAAGTCGACGCATAAATCTAAAAACATTAATTTCAAGTTTTTGAATTCTCCCATTTCAAGGTGAATTTATATAAAATAAATAATTAAATTCATAGTTTAAATCTAACTTGATTTATTTTATTTATACTCCAGTCGGCAGAGGCCGAAAAGTTACTGTTGGTGACATTTTCTTGATAACTCGGAAATAACTACACAGGTCTACTTTAAATGATGAGTATAATAACAGGCTAATTCGCTGACAAAGTATTTTATCAGGAAAAAAAGTTATTAACAATTTAATCGTGAAAAAAATTTTTTTTACTAGTTTTCTTTAAATAACTCAGCGGGATGACTTTGTACGAAAAAATGCTTAGGACAAGATTTTGTTCGTAATAAAAATAGCTACAAAATGGCGGTGGTCCGATTACGAAATTTGCAATAACAAAGCCGTGAGATTGAAAAAACGGTTTAAAACACCAATTTTTTTAAGTTGCTGTAAAAATGTCAATTATAAACAAAAAGTGATAAAACTTTCGAAAACTATAGTTCAATATATATGCAATAATGACGCTAAAGCCGAAAATCAGGATAGCAAAACTTTTTGTTCTATAAGGTGTTATACATTTATCGGCATCTGAAACTCGAAACTTTGCCAAATTTGTTCGAAGCTTTACTGACACTTGAAATTTGGTACACACATAGTGTAAATATGCAGAAACTAAAAGCAATTTGCAAAGTTCAAGTATCTTCATTTTTGCAGTTTTGGTAAGGTTTTATACGTCACCCTAGTTTTATATGTTGGACGAATATTCATGTATATTTATAAAATATTCCATTATGGTAGATTAGCCAGCATAATTACCTACAATTTAAAAATATATATATTTTCATCGTTTAGATCCTAAGCTACTTAACATTTTGCGCCTGTTAGCCGTAGTCGTACATTATTCAACATAATTAACATAAAACAAAATCGTACGTGTGGGGTAAACGTACTTGAAATATTTTAATGGAAAACTGACTTCCATATATTTCTGTTTTTTTTTAGGCACATATGTTTATTATTATGTTCCTTATTTTAATATTTTTGTTCATGAGGTAGGCTCATAAATGTGACAAAATATCTGATGTGACAGGGACTGTCTCCGTACAAAAAAATAGTCTGTTATTACTCCATGGGACCTGTAACTCATCATAGTTTTCGATGACGCAATCAACTTGTTAATAAAAAACTGAAATGATTTTTTTATGAAAATGTCATCCACATTTGTGGACACATCTTCACCTGAATTTTTTCACAGGTTTAATGAATCACCCTGTATACACATAAAAATTTCACAGTTTCAAATTTTGCGCACATAATTGAAATCTAAGGTACTTAATTTTATACATATTTGTGTCTTAAAAAAAAAATCTGAATTTGAAATTTATTATTCATAAAATATACTTTAAATTTATCCGTAGGTAGTTTTAAGTCGACTAATTTCTTAAGAACTGCATTTATATTTTGATTTTTGTTTGGACATTATTAATGCTGTGTGCCACCATCTTCACAATCACAAAATATATCTTATTCTGAACCTATACCCTATTATATTATTATTATATTCAAATTTAAAGCATTATGATTTTACTCAAAAACTAAGTTGATACCAAAATTTTATATATGTATAGGAAAGGTACAACAATTTGAAAAATCTATTTTGCTTTGATTTCTTTAAAAATAAAATCTGTTGAAGAAATATTATAAACTGTGAAGCTTATATTAATCGTTTGTAGAGTATCACAAAAAATGGAAAATATATATGAATGATATATCTATATCTTCTGGAAAAAATGCTTGGACACGTTGATTTTTATTTCTAAAACCCAATTTTTTAACAAACGTCACACTTCTGTATCTCAACTAGTGACAGAGTAAAAAGGTTAAATGAAAATACATATTAATAACAATAAGTTATTAAAGTAATTAAATAACAATAAGTATAACTTTTGAAAGGGTTTTTTTCCTCGACATGATATAATGGTAAAATAATTTTCAGATAGGTAGGTAAAAGTCAAGAAAAATTTTATATTTATTTACATATTTGTTTCATTTATTTATTAAGATAAGAAAAAATATTACATTATGATCATAAATAGCAACAGTGCAGTAAAGATTAAAGACATATATGAAACAAAAAATTACTTCTGTGAAGTTATTAAACAGGTTAGACTGCTGGAGAATACACCAATACCAGTATTGTATTTTATGACCTCCCCTTTTCAGGACACCCTGTGTATATTTAGTATTCATAACAAATTTATATCCTTTTTAATTTTTTTGTAGGTACGTTCTACCTAATCACATGTTGTTACAAATATCTGAGACCTTACCTAGAGAAATGCAAGGCATTTTGGCATGTTGTAGTCCTATTCCACCATTAGTAAGGGCTAATTTACTAGAACTCCATCAAATTATATTGAGAGCAAAAGAGCAGCCACTTGAAAAGGTATTTAGGTATTTTTAATGTCGCTTTTAATTGTAAATAATATGGAATAACTTTGCAGCCCATTATGAAGGAAGACACTAGAGCTCGTGGCACTACATTAAAAATTTCTAAAATAAATATAGACAGTCCTTTACATTGTCCACACGATTTGACAAAGTCAAATGAATTTCGCGATGACTTACCTACATTAATGGGTAATAATAGTGCTGCAAATTTATCGGAGTTAATTGACAAAAAGTTGGAAATTGAAAATACTCATTCTAGTCGTACGGTTTTCGATCCTCCTGACAATTCAAGTGAACAGGTATTTTTGCGAATCTCCAAATTGAGTACAATTAATAAGTAATTTGTAGGAAATAGATAGTGAAGCTTTAAAGAAAATTCACAGTATTGGTTTCCTGGGTCCATTTGAGCGTTATAAGTTAGTCAAACCATTTATTCAGGCAGAGGAGGAAAGACTGGCTTCTGAAAAATCTAAAAATGATGAACAAAAGAAATCCTCACAATCCGTTGATGTCATTGTGGTGGATAATCGCACTGATGAGGAACGTATAGAATCAGTAAGAGCAAAATTTATTTTTCTTACAAGAATGCCATTTGCACTGATTAAATTTTTTTTTTTTTAATTTACGTTTAATCTGAGTAAAAATATTTATAATTACAGATTAGAGAACATTTCCTTAGCTTAGCTAGAAAAGTAGTTCCAGTGGTAGAAGAAACAGAATTTAATCAATCCCTTGTTCAAATGGGAGGAAGTAAAAAAAGAAAGAGGGATTCCTCACTGGAAGATAATCTTGTTTGCTTTCCATCGACCAGTGTACAAACACCCATTCCAAATATTAATCCAGCAAATAGTGATATAAGAAAGAGAAAATCTATTGATTTACCACAAGAGACCAGCCCCAATAAAATTAAAAAAATTGATGGACAAAATCAAACATTTGTAAAGAAAAAGAACAGGAGGAAAAAGAAGGGCAAGAATCTAGCCAGTGCCACAAATCAGGATAAACAAACAAACCAGGAAAAGCACAATCAAAACCTGACTGATTTTAATAGTGTCGGCGATAGAAACAGATCTGAAAATCAGTCTAGTATCAGTGAAGAAAACTCATCTCGTGTTGATACAACTAGGGTTGATGGTATTAAAGGAAAACAAAAAAATAGAAAAAGGAAGTTCAAAATGCAGGCTCTAACCAATCCACAAAAACTAAACCCTGAGTTTACTCCTTTCGACTATGCATCGGTTGATTTTAGACAGTTTCAGGGTGGCGCTGAAATAATTCAGAAACAACAACAACTTAAAAGTTCTTTAAAATTTAAGGTATTTTGATCTTTCTGTTAAAAAATTATTTATTTTCTGTATATTTTTTTTTTAGAGAAGGCCACGAAATAACAAGAGTAACAATAATCGATCAATGACTTTTGGCAAAAGTGGGAAGAAATTGTGTTAGATTTTATTTGCAGAGCATTTCCTTTTCAGTTTTGTTTAAAATACTATTGTGTCTTAAGCAATGTGTTATTATTATTATTATTTTTGTAAATTTGTTACCCTTCTGCATTAATATAAATTTCAGTTGAAATTTTGATTTTTATTTATATAAAAGTTACATATTATATTAAAAAACAATTATAAAAGATCCCGATAAATAGTAAAAAATAATAATTTTAACTGTCAAAGTATTATTAACCATAATATTAGGGCTTTACTATAGTAAAACAATAAAATGGTACACAACAATTTCCATCTCTCCATTTCCAGTGGTTCCCAAAGTGTAAGAAGATGGAAAGGGGGTTGCTAAATGTTTCAAAGAATATATTAACATACATTTATGTTAAAAAAAAGTTAAAAGTAGATATGCTTATTTTTCACTATTCAGTAACTAATTTCTGCAGCATATTTTTTAGTTACAGTAAGGGCATCATGGTGGTAGCCAGGAGGAGGGGGGGGACAAGTTGCATTGTTGCAAAAAGTGTTTAGGTTTTGAAATTTTATATCGGTAGGTCGCTGTTTGTTTTTTTTAAAGAATCAAACGAAAAACTGAGAGTGTTTTTTTTTGAGGCCTCCATAGAGCTCACATCCCTGGGCCCACCCCTAGCAAAAATCCTAGCTACGCCCATAAATAGTGGCGGCATAAGACCTAAACTTAATGTAGGCAAGGTACATTTCGTGAGGCCCTCTGCTGGCGCAAGAAGAGGGGTTTTTAAAATAAATAGCACTTGAAATTGACAATTTTTTATTCATAAAGAAACAAAGAAACTTTTTACTTATACTTCTTTAGCACATTCAACAAAAATTAAAAAAAAGAAAAAAATAGAAACAGAAATTTTCTACTTTTAGTTTTACTGAACCCCTTAATGATTGGTTCGTAATTTATTTTAGATGCTATATCTGCTTCAATAGATAAAACTGCCAAAACTGAAAGTCTTTCCTGACCCATTGTATTAAATAATTTTTTAGAACAATCAATCTATAATGTAAATAACCAAAATCAACAGTCAATTACACAATTTCGTTCTTTGTCATATATAGGTAATATTTCAGATAAGTTTCGTAAGATTTTTAAAGATTTCTTCACTATTTCGTTTAAAACTAATAATTCTATTGGATATCTCATTTTAAATAATAAAGATAAAATTGATAATAAAAATAATGCAGGTGTGTATCGACTTTCTTGTGACACTTGTAATGCAGTTTATATAGGTAGAACTTTTAGGAGTTTTGACATTAGATTAAAAGAACATTTACGCTGTCTTAGGCCTAATTCATCTGGTTTTTCACATTTTGCTAATCACTTACTTGAATTTAATCATAATTTTTCTCCAAACATTGGCTTTAGAATTTTGCATATTACTAATGATAAGGGACATTTTCTTAATAATTTAGAATTTTTTTAAATTCAGAAGTCTATGAAAAATAATAATTCTGGTACAATAAATACAGTAGTAGGTTTAAATTACTCACCAGTTTTTGCCGCACTTCTTCCTTAATTCTAGATTATGTTTGGTTAACATAAAAATTATTGTAGGTAAAGACATGTTTAACGATATTTTTGTAGATTTGAATCAACAGTTTTATTTACCTTTGGTATATACTATCCCATTTGTCATAATTTGCATTTCTGGTTGCCTACCTCCGTCACAGATGGTACTCTCTTATTTACCCAGTAGATGGTGTTTTCGTTAAATTGAAAAAACAACTTTGAAAAAATGTTATAAAAAATTTTGGCTTTCATTCTTCTCATTTTAAAATAAATTTTGTACTTGTAACTGTGTATTGTCATTGTCTACAGTATATGTTTTAGGGTGATTGCACCAGTTAAGGAACATTTAAGCCAAATTCGTTTTTGTATAATTCAAAACTAATATCAGAATTGTTCCTTTCAATGATGTTTTTTACCATCACATAGCTTAATATGTCTTTTATCTTTAACAATATGAAAGAATACTCCAAAATTTTATACAAAAATTGTAAAGAGTTTGTTAATTAAAAAGTACAAAATTACCAGTAAAGGAACAGTAATCTCTAGTAAATAAACAAAAAAAAGCCAGTAAAGGAACTAAGAAAATATATTATGGAAATATTATAATTTTAATCATTAATCTCAGAAACTTTAAACAAACCACGTGAATTTAATGGTATAGGCTCATTTATGGTATTCATTATAGCTGTTCGCTTATACCAAATTTGATCCGGCCTTTCTGGCCATCTCCAGTTTCCTCTATTGGTTTTCTCCATGGCCCTAATTTCATACTCCACATAATTATCAAATCCAGTTATGACTACAGGAAATATTTGTTTTTCGTAGGTTACTAGAACATAACTTCCTACGGTAAATAAAAAAAAAAAACAATAAAGAAACATACTTGAACCAGTAAAGGAATACCTATTAATGAAGTGTTCCCTTACTGGAATGAAGTAAGAAATAATAAGAACAGTCTACATACAATGAAACTACCAAAATGAGGCTGAATAATGTCAGAATGTGAATAATATTAAAATTCTAGTGAAGGAACACTATGTTCCTTAATTGGATTTTTTTTATTTCGAAGGTCCAGTAAAGAAACACTGAAAAATTAAAGAAATTGTAGGCAAAATTACTGTTTTGACCTAAAAAATAATTAATCTGAAATCCAAACATTGTTCTAGAACAGTTTTTATTCCTTTAAAATTAACACCAAAGCTAATAACTGAAAAGTAAGAAGAGCTCACTTTTTAAAGTTCTTAATTCTTGAGCAGTCAGACTTGGGTGTACCAATTTGCCCAGATTTCAAATGATAACTGTTATAAATTCACATGACCTACAGGCTAACCAACTTACATAACGGAAAATAAGATACCAACCTAATATTTAAAAAATAAGCGGAAATTTTAAATCACAGGGAATCCTTAATATTACTTAAAATATAGGCGAGTGTTCCTTTACTGGTGAGTGTTCCTCAATTGGTGCAATCACACTTTGTTTTTTAAAATTAAACGTTAGGAAGATATTATTAAGTATACAATTGATAAACTGGTTATTCAGATGAATTTTCCAAATTTTGCACAGAACCTTGTAAATGTGATATGTAAGTATGCACATATAGTTTTATTTATTAAAAGTTTAAAAAAAATGTATAACTCAGTGTATTTAGTTTTTAATGTAATAGAAGTTCATACTATAATATGCACCACTTACATATATCCCAAAAATTTTCACTAGATATGCATATTTAAATAAGTCGAAGATAAAAATGATTAAATTTACAATAATTAATATCAAATTCAATGTATAGTGTATTAAAAAATCCCGAATATTTATTATATACGATAATGTGGGGGCACACCATTTACAATTGGACCGCTAGAAGGATAGAGACGGAGAAATTTCAAATGTTGATTTGGCATTTGATTTGGCAATAGAAACGGCCCATTGACAGTTCATGTACGAACATTTAAAGAGAAAGAGAGAAACAGATTGGTTATCCCACAGATCACCTAGACTGGCTTATAGAGTGATTTTGGTGAAAACACATTGGAGCCTGATTTGGAGCCCAGCGCTCAGTCGTGTCCTAGCATTTGACGTGTACGCATCGCTGTGATTTCGATAATTAGACGTTCTATCAAGTGTATTGTAAAACATTGTATAAATAGAAGTGATCGAGTTGGTGAAGAGAGGCAAAAAGTTTCCTTCTTTAGGTAAGTAAAAAAAAAAGGAATATTGTACGCCATTTTTCGGTTAACGTCACAAGTTTCCAGGGTTAGCTTTATAATTTTGTTCGCCCACATAGTGTAGTGATTATCGTGATATTGTTATTATAAAATAATTAATGAATTACTGTAAAATATTTTTAGTAATTATTTACTTTATACGAGTCTTAAATTTTTATGAAATTTTACCAATTCCCGTCATTTCGAGATAGCTGAAAATTAATGAAATATTTTTTTCAATTAAAAAAATCGCAAACTAAACTAATTTTAGATTCAGTATTCGTACAGTCAATTAATTTTTATTAAAGATCGTGGTTGTTTGACGTATCCATCTCGAGATGTCGTAGTAATATGCTAAGAAACATAAAAATTAATAAAATTATTAAATAATGATGAAAGCAGAACACCTACGCTACAGAAAAATAAAATTGTTTATCATGTATTAAAAAACTTTCTGAATGTGAACAAATTTGAAAATTTGCATGAACATCAATTTGATAATTTGCCTAACAATTGTAATCATTTAATAGAACTTATATGGGCTGAATGTGAAAAGTATATCGATGTACGAATAAATCATGAAGTCTAATTATTTAATTCCGTAAAATCTACGAAAAGGCAAATATTAAATAAATTAATATTATTTAGAGGACAATAAATATATTTAAATTATTTTGTAGTTTTATTTAATATAACACTAAAATATACTATTTTCTGAATTACAAACTTAAAATTGAATATTTATCATAAGATGCAATATAATATCTAATATGTAATAAAAATAACTGGGGGTTATAACTGGCGGGTTAACTGAGACATGTGTGAGCCACTACCTCAGAATGCTTTTCACGTTCACGTTACGATAATAGTATACTGTTAGCTTTATTGTTATCGTGCGGATGTTACGTAATTAATTCCTATCTGTTAGTGCTTATGGTGGTGTATTGTAGATAATTTAATTTATTGTTTTTTAAGAAATAATTCGTACGCCTATGTCCCGGACATTCATAACCAAGCAGACACCTCAACCTTCTGCAGATCGGGTATTTTAATGATCTTTTTGCAATAACCATGCATTCCCACTAAGCAAAAAACCTCTGCAAGTAATGTTAAATAAGTTTACTCAAGAATTAGAACCTCGCTTGTGACTTCTTGTGCGAAGCTTATTAACCTCCAACAGAGGCACAAATGTCAGCCACAGATCACATACTATATATGACTTGTAAACCTACTGAAATACTGCTAACACACTAGAATTTAAATAGGTTAAAAGTTACTTTTTGCGCACATCGCCCTGGTAAATTTTTTAATGCTTACATTGTAGTGGTATATAATACTTCGCTATAATTTTTTTTTTAGCGATTCTTTGTTGTGATGTAAAATATATACAATTGTTATGAAATTTCGCAGTGTAAATGTTAATTCTTATAGTAATAAATTTGCAATTAATAATATTAATACACTTTAGTAAAAATAGGTAGTTACCCCGTAGGTCCAGAGGATATCACATACAGTTATCTTAAAGATAACTGTACACTACTTCTGCATGATGTCGTAACTTTATCGTTCTATAGGGTGAAAATAAGAAAAAAATTTACCTAAAAATAACATCATAGATTCATTCCACACCTTTTAGAAATTTCAATATTTTTGAAAGTTTTTCATAATCATCCTTAAAATATTAAGATTTCAAGAAAATGTCAAATATAAATTTATACTAATTATTGTTGTGGTTAAACTCGCTCACATTACAAACATCCAAGGACATCATTTCACTTATAAGAAAATAAAATGATTACATAAAACAGATAATGCAAATTTAGGAGCGTTTTTATAAAAAAAAATCACAAATATTTTAAAGGAAAAATATATTCATATACAGAGTGACCCATTAGTGTAACAAAGTTCAGCTCACTTACGGTTAACCTAATAAACAAGTGTTTTTAAAAAAAGTTTGCACCAGATCAAATTTCTCACATTTTAGATTATATAGGATGCTCCATAACGTTATTATTTAAAGTGGAGCATCCTGTACATTATATTGAATTTACATCTTTTCTTGGATTTAAAGACCACTTTGATAAGTATATAATGAATCTAAAAGTCAAATAAGTTTGCTGTTGTTGAAATAAAATAAAAGAAAGACGTTTACTGCCTTCAAAGCTATCAAATACAAAAATTTTTCCATATCCGTAAAATATAAATATATATCCGATCAGGTTAACGGCATAAATTAAGGGAATGTCAACCAGCCGCTTACGTCATAAGTCTAAGTTAACGGCAGCCCTTAAACATCTAAAGTTGGAAGTATATTATTTTTTTCCCCTTTACTTTCCTCCCTTATTCTTCTTTGCTTCGAATTTCGTAGCCAATCCTTGACATGGACATCAAAATCCTTCTTAGATATTTCAAACTTTTTATAAACAGCATCTACAAAGAGATACAAGTTGACTTGAAATTTTATACCAAGAAACTATTAAAGTACTACATTTTAAGAATAGATTTATAAAGTATATACTGGAATTTGAAGTGCTTAATAAAATGTTAGAGTATTGCATCACGAGAGACTTAGCTTAATGGGAGATAGAGAATGCCTAGTATAACCAGAATCGCTATTAGAAATACCAGTTATGACATAAAAAAATTAACTGTTACTTACGGTACTCCTGTCCAGGAACACAATTCACCCAGCTGGTTGGTGAAAACAGTTTTCAAAAGTCGACAGACAAAATCCTTTGGCCCATTGCCACCAACATTTTCCAAATCCTTCACCTAAAAAATAAAAAACAGGATAGAACATAACGAAAGATAATAGTTTTAAACTCAGGTATGGGATTGTGAAGAAATAGGTATACCAACTAATATCTCTATTTTACCACTATTTTAGAACAGTCACTTTCAGTAATAAATAGTATACAGGATGTTCCTTAATGACGTGCTAATATTTCATTTTATGATGAAAAGTTTATATGAACATATGTCTACAACGACTTAATTTTTTTGCAGGGCTCGGAATTTTTTTTTATATCGAATTTTTTTTTCGCCAATACCATGCTGATGATGATGTGTATAAAAACGTCATTTATTCCAGGATAACTAAGATTTATGTGTGCAAAAATTATTTGGCTATACCACACTGCTAATTTAGACAATCAGAACTTTATTGTTTTAATAAAAAATGGTGCTTCTGGCGAGTAAAATGCAAGAGACCTGCTTTCCTGTATGTATACTTGATAAAAAGTTCTGCGTGTATTTAAAATGAGATTGCCATGAAGGAAGTTAACATTTCATGTACATGGTGTCCAGAAAATAAAAAATATGAAAATGTCAGAGTAATAAACTACCTTTATTTTTACATTTCGGAAAAGTTATTTGCTATTAAAAGTTCCAAAAGAACTTCCATTTGCAGCAAAATTGGCACTTTGATTTAAAAAAAATCATGTCCATGGTTAGAGTAAAAGTAAAAACTTTATTTTATATTTTACAGAAAAAAGAACATACGATAATAAATAAAAATAAAAATAGCAACATTTTCAGTTTTTCCAACTTTTACACGTACACACTCTACTCTGTCGTTTGTAAATAATCGAAGTGAGCAAATTTTGCTCCAAATGGAAATTTTTTTGAAACATTTAATTCCGAATAAGTATTTCTAGTGACACATTTCTAATAGCTGTTTTACATTGACAATTTATTCAACAATAAATTGACGAAGTTCTTCATGAATTAATTCACGAATTTATTGGTAAACAGTATTGTTTTATACTGCTACAGACTTTGTCAAGTTTTTTGATGCATGAATCAGTTCTACCAACGAATCAAAGAAGCAAATAAATTTTAAAAATGTCACCTTTCCACTCATAATTGTAGTGATACAACAGCGGTACCGTTTTGACACATATTATATAAATATTAGTTTTTGTAAGTAACAAATCAGTAAAAACAATGCGAAATTAGTACGACGCCACACAATTACTTGCTCTGAGGCTGGAAATCTGTTGAGTTGGTGCTTCTGAACTTCACAAAGAAATTGACGAAAATTAGAACATGTTCTAATTCGTCAAGAACTTGATGAATAAATTCATGAAGTTATTTGACAGCAGATTAGGTGCATTACACTTGTACAATTTCTTGATGAAGCGACTTCATGAATTAATTGATCAATAAATTGTCAATGTAAAACAGCTATAAAAGAGCAAAAGTAAGGGTAGTTTACTTTTTTTTCACATTTTTTTTATTTTCTGGACGTCCTGTATATAAAATGTCAATTTTGTTCATGGCCACTTTATTTTAAATACAAGCAAAACTTTTTATAAAGACTTTTTTGTAAAATGCAAAATAAAAAGGTGTTTCCTATCATTCACTCTAACCGTGAACATACTGTATGCAATTAATTCATTAATACATTTTTTTTTTATTTTGACTTCCAAAGTTGCGTCAGAAACAGAAGGGTAAGTTTCGATAGAAAACTAAAGGACTTATTTGAAAAAAAATCCTATTATCTGTTATATACTTACAAATAGTGCAAGAAATGTTTTGTCTGCCAGTTTTCCTTCCAGAGACATTATGTCTTCTAAGTTACCCAAAGGGAGATCAAATGCAAAAGGCTCTAGTGAGGATTTTTCCTTTTGACACTGCCCCATTAATTCTTCAAGCATTAACTTGTGTTCACTCAAGATTTCAATAATTTTATCAAACTTTTCTTCAAGACGATCAACTTTTGCTGCTGAACGACCTAAACAAAAAATATTCAAGTTTTAGACCTGGTACAATGTACCTTTAAGTTCAGTGTCGAAATGAATACTTAGTTGTGACATAATAGTCCATTATCCAATGATAATGTAATGATGACCATTAAAACACAAGCATGATAAGTAGGATATGAAACGACTATAGACAAGTTTCGTATATTTCATGCGAGTATTATTGGCCATTACATGAGAGTTGCATATACTATTTCTGCTACGACCATTTACAAGTTATTTTTAAAAGAATGCAATTTCCTTGTGACAGACCTGTAAAAATAACACTATTTTCACAGGTCTTCTTGGTTAAAAAAATAATAAGAAGAAAAAAAACAGTTTCATAATGAAAAACTGTATCATAATGCTCCTCATTATAAAACCGATAAAGTGACACCACCTTAATTTGCATATTTTGAAACGGGAGTAAGAAAACATTATAAAATTGGATTGAATTAAATTTCAACGTAAACAAAAAAGTTGAAATGAAAACTTAAAACAAATTGGGATTCGACTCATTTTCTATATAGGTATTCTCCAAAGTTATTGATTTAGTTTACCTGAAGATGATATTTCATCTGCATCAGAGAGTACACCTAACTCGGTCAAGAGTGTTTCTTCAGAATTCACAGATTCAAGATTAGTAGGTTCTACTATATCTATATGATTCTGCCGATTACTAATAACAGTATTCACATAATGTTCCCCAGGTAAAAACGAGTTCATTCTCTCTACTGTTACGGGTGCAACACAATTATTCATACTTTCCAATGTAGGTGGAAATTCATATTGATCTAAAAAGAAAGATAGATGAATTCTAAATTTAGCTTAACCTGCATGGTGACAATTCGTCACAATTGTTTATTAATAGAGGACAATTTTCTGAAAATTTGTTCAATTCACGGTATATATAAATGACTCTAAGAGCAACAATACTTCGATTTGTATTCAAGGTAGCTACATACCCTTGTCCATTCTTCTCCTCGGCACGGATGTATCAGGGCTATAATAATCCTTCGGTTTTGGAGCGCGAAATCCTTTTCCAAGCTGCTCATCATCAGTACTAACTTCTTTTTTGCTCCTTTTTTTTGCTTCTTTTAATGAATCTGTATGCATAAAAAAGGGAACATAAGAGCTGAATTATTTACTTTAAAATAATATTACCACAAATTATTTCAACTTCTACAGAATGCCAAGGCCAATCGTCTTGAGGCTGAACATTTTTTGCTGTATAAATGCAACTATTTTTTGGTGGCCATCGACAAAATTTTCTGTCTTCCGACAATCATGATACAGGTATCTCTTGAACACTTTTAAAAGTGTCACTAGATTCTTTTGTGAAGACAACCACTGCATACATGATGGATACTTTATAACTAAATTTATGAGATATACATTACATTTTCACTCTCGTCTATGCATTACATCAAAAGTTAACAAAACATCAACAGTCAATTATAAATTATAGAGAATATGATTCTGGATTACAAAATAAGTAGTTACTGTTGGAAACAAGAATAATATGTAATTTATTATATTAATTTTCACAACCATACAAATGTAACAGAGCAATACATAACAATTTATTATTTGCTACACTGTCATTGAAAGGTAAAAGTACACATTTACAGTAAATATCTGATATTGAAATTTGTAAAAAATCTGATGAATATGATGTATTTATAACATAAATATCTATCATTTTAGAATCAAATGGCATAAGAAAAAACGATTCACAGTTCAAAATTTGTTTGCCATTTATTTCAAATACATTATCGCCATTATCTAATATATCTGTAATAAATACAACTTTTTTATCTTTTAAAAGAACACAGTTATCTGGATGTTTATTAGTTAGAGTAAAATTTTGAAATTTTAATTCTTTTTTTAACTTATTACTTACACCTAAATAGGGAAATTTACATTTTGGATTTTGGATAGGTAATTCTTCTCTTACAAATTTGCTGTAAAGGTTTTTGAGTTTTTCTAATTTTTTTTAAAAGAGTATATAAAAAATTCTCATATTTAAAAGAGCTGAATGAATCTAATGGTCCATGCTTTTTAACATCTTCACTAATGTGTATTAAATTGTGTACATTGTACGACACATTTTCTGGCTTATAAAACATACCATAATTTTTAACAAAGTTTATCAATAACTTCTTGGCATATTCATTATATTCCTGACACAAGTCCATAGATAACAGTCTGATTGCACAACATAATGTCAAAAAGTGTATATATTTTTGTTGTGGCAGAATGTCTTTGAGGGTGACCATGCCAAGGTACAGTAAAAACAGCCTAAATTCCGTGGCTTTCCACCTATCCACTTCTAGCAGAGACCTAGGTTTTCTTTCAAATTCCACAGGAATATAAGATTTTAAAGAAACAAAAAAAGTACTAATTTTATCTAGCACAACTTTCGGAAATCTTTGGGAAATATCACCTTTAACCCAAAATTGAAGAAGTCTTTTAGTCACTCCCAAGCATACAAGATGCATGTAATCCAGTACTAATTGAGATACCATATCTATATGTAGGTTTTCTAAAATTGACGTTCCCTTGTGATATTCTTCTTGTATTTTATTTTTAAATGACTCGTCTGTTCTTAAGGAATTATTTACTTCTGGAAAAGTTACACGTCTTTCGATATAATCACCCTCCTGAGTACACTTTGTGCATCCAAAATATCCTGTATGGTTTTTTACACAGATAAGAAAAGCTTTTGCTGGTGCATCACATATGATGCATTTTAATTTAACTTGTATATGACTTTCTTTCCATATTATTCCCTGGTTTAAAATTGTATAAGCTTCATGAACAAATGGTTCCATCAAAGAATTCGCA